AAAAAAAACTACAAAGGAGTTGGCACCATGGAGAAAAGTTTGGCTAGGGAGCCCAAAGTTTAACTCAACAATTTCACCAGGGCTATCAGGAAGCTGCTGAGAGGCCAGGCTTGGGACAATGCGCCCTCACACCCCCCCACAAGACTGTAGTTCCTTTGGCTAGATCTTTGAGTCCTAAACTGTCAGGGTCAAAGGCTTAATATATTTTCTTCCAATTGTAAAATTCACAGAACATAAAATCCACTATTTTTAAAGTATACAATTCAGTGGCATTTAGTACACTCAGTGTTGTGCAACCATTATCACTACCTAGTCCCAGAGCTTTTCATCACTCCAAAAGGAAATCCCGTGCCCACTAAGCAGTCACTCCCCGTGCCCCCTCTGTCCAGCCCCTGGAAATCTACTTTCTGTCTCTATGAATTTGCCTATTCTGGACATTTCATATAAAGGGACTCATGCAATATGTGGTTCTTTGAGATTGGCTTCTTTAACTTAGCAAAATGTTCTCAAGGTTTATCCATGTCATAGCATGTACTGGTATTTAATTCCTTTTTATGGCTGAATACGAGAGTCCTTAGGTTGTACAAATGTTTAATGTGCTTGGCTGCTATCTGAAATGCTGGAGGTTCAAGTCTGCCCAGAGGTGCCTTGGACAAAAGGCCTGGCAATCTACTTCTGAAAGATTACCCATTGAAAACCCTATGGAGCATAGTTCTACTCTGACACATATGGGGTCACCGCCATGAGTCAGAATCAACTTAATAGTAACTGGTGGTAGTGGTGGTATAGGGATATGCTGCATTTTATCCATTCATCAGCTGATGGACATCTGGGCTGTTTCTACCTTTTGGCTATTGTGAGTAGTGATGCTATGAACATTCATGTACAAGTATTTGTTTGAACACATTTTCAATTCTTTTGGGTATATACCTAGGAGTGGAATTGCTGGGCCATAAGTTTAACTTACTGAAGAACCCTAAGGACTTTCTGATGGATTCTACTCAACACAGATTTTATCTAACAAACTACCTTTGGTTAATATTACCTTCCTCTCCTCCCACAACTCTGTTGTAATCACTATTTTGTTTTGTTGTGATTACTGTCCCTACCCCAAACCTACATAATTCCAGTGAAAAGCAAAGAAACTTAACATTTTTGTTACTCCTTGTTTGTGTTGATATCCATTTGGTTTTAGGTTTTTAAAAATATTTAACACTGCCTAGGGACCCTGAGGAGCCCTGGTGGCACAGCAGTTAAGAGCTCGGCTGCTGACCAAAAGGTCGACAGTTCGAATCCACCAGCTGCTCCTTGGAAACCCTATGGGGTGGTTCTACTCTGTCCTATCGGGTCTCTATGAGTTAGGAGTGACTCAACGGCAATGGGTTTGGTTTTGGTGTATTAGGGACCCCAGGGTTGGAGGAGGAGCCCTGAGAACAGATAATCTTTAAGTGGTCACTGAACCCATAAAGTATGAGCTCTGGGGACCTAAAAGCAGGGAAGACTTAAAATATAAACCAGATCACATCCCTCCAGCCCAACTGGCCTTATTTTAGTTCAACACACCACACTTGTTCCCAACTCAAGGCCTTTTCATTGGCTGTCCCTGCAGGCTGGAATGCACTTTTCCGGGATCTTTCCACGGCTGTCTCTTTATCATTCAGGTCTTAGTTCAAATGTCCCCTCCTCACAGACAGTCCTTCTCCAATCATACCATCTAACATTAGTTCATTTCCATCCCACTCTATCACATTACCCTGCTGTCTTTTCTTCACTGTATTAACCAATTTCTGAAATCCTCATCTGCTTGTCTCTCCCCTCTACTAGAATGTACATTTATGAGATAAGGACCTTGTCTGACCTGTTTCCTGCTGTATCCCTAGTGCCCAACAATGCCTGGCTTGTGGCAGATGCTCCAAAAATATCTGATGAATGAACAGATCTCCCGCAGGCTTTGGTGGTGGAGCTACATGTCTTGGGGAGAAGTTTTAAAAAACACAGCACAGGATCCCTATCTCCAAGGGGCCTATACTCGGATTAGGGAATAATATTAATAATCAGGCCTCCATCTTTTATCTTTCACCATTCTTAGCAACTGAATGGTCTGAATGGACAGTCAACTGCATCATGAATTTTTTCTTGTTCCTTTACTCAGTATCTCTTAACTGCTGTAGAAATCTCTTCCTTTCCTCATCCTTGAGGAAACAGTGCCACCACTACCTGCAACTTGCTTCTTTAAAACAAAACAAAAAACAAAAACAAAACCCGTTGCTGTTGAATCGATTCTGACTCATAGCAGCTCTACACGACAGAGTAGAACTGCTCCATGGGGTTTCCAAGGCTGTAGTCTTTATGGAAGCAGACTGCCACATCTTTCTCCCGCAGAGTAGCTGGTAGGTTCGAACCGCCAACCTTTTGGTTAGTAGCTGAGCACTTAACCACTGTGCCACCAGGGCTCCTTGATTCTTTAAAGCGTAGATGAATTCATTATTCATTCATTCAGTAGAAAGTAACTGAGAGCCTATCATGTGCCAGGCACAGTCCTAAGTGCTCTGAACATAGCAGGGAACAAAACAGACAGGACCCCTTATCATACAGAGATGATACTCTGCTGCTGGTGAAGGACAAGAAACAAAAAAAGATGCTGGAAATCGCTGAAAGGCAAAGCACAGAAAAGGCCCCTGGACGAGATAACACTAGGAAACTCTGCTTTTGTTCAATGGTGGTGGAAGAGCACATAATTTAGAAAGAGAGCAGAGAAAACATTTGTTCATTCATTCAACATATTATTTATTGAGCACTTCCTATGAGACAGGTAGCATGCTAGGTTGTGCAGATGATCAGCATAAGAAATAGACAAGGTACTTTGTCCCAAGTATATAATGTTATCGTGTGCGAGACAGACAATAAAAAAGACAAGGAAAAAAAAAAATCAGTGTTGAGTGCTCTACAGAGAAATTAAACAGTAATGGGCTAGGCAGTGACTGGGCGGGGGGTGGGGGGAGGGCGGGGGCAAGGAAGGACTCTGAGGAGCTCACATTTAATCTAAGTCTGAATGATGAGAAGTAACCAGCCTTGCAAAGACTGGAGCAAAGAATGTTCCAGGCACAAGAACAGCTAGTGCAAAGGCCCTGAGGCAGTAATGAGCTAGGAATATTCAAAGAGCAAAAGGAAGGTCTGTGTGGCTAGAGCAAAGGGGACAAGGGAGAGAATGGTTAGGAGATGGGAGCAAGGGTCAGATCATGCAGGACTTAGGCTATCATGTGGAGAATGGCCTGGAAGACTCAAGAATGAAAGCAGGGAGACCGGTAAAGATGGAGAGGTATGAGCTGATTAGGAAATACTACTCCTTTATGGTAGAGTGTCTCCCTCTCAGCCACACTTGGTCTGTCATGTGATCCCATAACCACACATGGGGGTGGGGGGTGTAAGGGTGTCACTTTGCCAATAAAAGCCGCAAAGCATAGAGTGCTGTGGGGTGCACCTAACAACCAACCAGCCATACCTACACTTTTAAATTCTTGAAACTTTGCATTAGTCCAGGTGCCAAATTGACAACAGGGTACGTTTTTGAAAAGTGGAAGAATTCAACCACTTGAGAGATTTAGAGCTCAACTTCTTGGTTTCATTTCCCCACAAGGGGTACAAAAAAAGAAAAGAAAACGTCTGGCTCTCACTTCGCTTGTCCATCTCGTGGGGAAGTTAAAAGCCGCTTGAGGGTGAAGACAGGTGCAGGGGGCGGGATAGGGGGTTGGGACGGCCATGCGGCAATCAGGCTCCAACATTTCCAATTTCCATTTACCCAGGCCAGACCCAAAATTCTATAAAGGTGGAGAGAAGGGTGGTGGCAAATTCTTGCATGCCTTGCCCTGATCTCATTCATTTTGCTCCCAGGCCCTACAGGGTGGCTGAACTGAAGCTATTCTAAACGCTTGCACTTTTCAAGGAAACGCAGGATACTTGAACATTGTTTGCATATTGTAGAGCGGGCTGCAGTCCATTCCAGGGGAAGAGGGGTGCAGAAGTCCACGATAAATAATACGCCAAGTTTCCACCGCCCCTGCAGCGTAACCACAGCCAGGAGCCCGGTGGCGTGGGCCTCGTACCGCCTTCAGAGACTCCCACTTGGGACTCGAGGATTGGATCTCGCCGGGCACCGCCCTCTCCCCATAGATGAGGGAAAGGGGCACCCCGGTTCCCGCCGCCGCATCTTTACAGTTGTTTTACAAAAGAGGAAATAAGTATAAACGCTGCAAAGACAAGGGATACTCCCCCGGCCCAGGGTCCACCGGGCCACTAGGAGGATGGGAAGACGCAGGACGGTCAGTACCGCACGAACAGGGGCTCAGACCACCTCCTGCTCGCCCTCTGTCCCCCAACCCCCAGGGTGCAATCTCCCCCAGGCGATCCGGCTGCACCTGCGCAAAGTCCCCCGCTCCCATTACCTTGTAGAAAGTGACAGTATCCAGGGGAAGGGCACCCTTGGTGTGCAGGCCGCTGCCGCCATGCGGGGCGGAGAGGAGCAGGAGGCCCAGAAGGAGAGGAAGCAGCGGGGAGACAGAAGCTGCGCGGGACACGGAGGCAGCCATAACGCCGGATTTCGGGAACCCAAGCTAGGACGACCGTAGTCGAGAGACCCAGAGTCGGGGCTCACGTGACTAGGAAGTCAAGCTCGCGCGCGCGCACGTGTCTAGCCGAGGAGGCTCGCTAGGGCTCAGGGTGAGAAGGAGGGGCCGCACGCAGGAAAGACGGGGTAAACGGAGCGGCCGCGCACGCGCACTCAGCGAGGCTCGCCCAGGCCCGGGATGAAAGGGAGGGGCCCCGTGGAAGGGACCACGTGAAAGGGGCGGGAGGAAAGAAAACTGGGACTGCTGCGCACGCGCGTTTAGTGAGGCTCGCGGGTGCCCAGTCCTGCTCCCGTCATCCTCCGCGTGAGCAGAGGCGCGAAGCGCGTGCCTGGGGCTGTCGCGGCTTTTCCCCCGCTGTCCTGCCTACTCTTCGGAGTGGAAGAGGCGCAGCATGGTTTCTTCCTGCCTTTGGTCCGTCAGACAGTTGATTGGGAAGCGCTGCTGCCCCCGGTTAGTCCGTCAGTCAAGTCCAGCCGCCACGTTTAGTCAGACTTTGCTGCTGCCCTGACTCTGTTGGCCCACCATGACCGTCAGAACTTGCTACCACCCATAGACAGGCAGTCAGTTGTTCCACTACTAACCCGGATTGGTCCGCCAGACTTGGTCAACATGGCAGTCAGGGCAGCCCCTACCATCTGCCCAGTCTTACGGGTTGGGCCTACTCTGAGGTGAGTGCCTCACCTGGGAGGCGCCAGGCTCCTATGAAAACAACATTCTTCGGCTTTACTGAAAGCTGAAGGGGCCTTGACGGGCAATGGTTAAGCTTGGCTGCTAACTGAAAGGTGAGTGGTTTGAACCCACCCAGTGGCTGGCAATGCCAGAGAAATTTCTGGCAATCTACTTATTTAAAGGTTACAGCCAAGAAAACCCTATGGGGCAGTTCTAACCTGTCACATGGGTTCTCAATGAATCCGAGTCGACTTGATGGTGCGAGTACCTGCTCAGCCATAGAATATGCTCCAGGAAGGTTTTTGTTGTTTTAATCCTAATAATTCTATGCAAGAGATCTTTATTCAATGCATACCCTATATTAGATCCTGGTTTTGCTTCTGGGAATACAGAATTGAGAAATGAACAAGACAGAGCTCTGTGTTGAAAGACTTACGATGTGGGAAGAGGACAGGAACAATATAAACAACCAGCACAGTGTAACTGATATAAAATGAGACTACATCAGAGTAGTGTGAAAACACAAAGGGAGGCCCAATCAGTCGAGCTAAGGAATGTCAGGGACAGTTACAGATAGAAGATGACTTTTGAGCTGGATCTTGAAAGAAGATCCATTCATAAGGCAAAGGGCCAAAGGGCATTTCTAGCCAGGGGACAAGAATGGACAGGAATGTTGGGGAACTGGTTGAGATGAATCTTTAAAAGTAAATTGGGACAGGTGCTAAAGGGTCTTACAAGCTGAAGGGTTTGGATTTTATGCTGAAGGCAACACAGAGTCACCAGAAGGCTTTACCAGGAGAGTGACACCAGATTTGTGTTTCAAAACATCACTTAGGAATGAAAGGAATAGATTGGGAAGGAGTAAGACAATACAGGGATTCCAGTTAGGGGTCTTTTGCAGTGGTTTTGGTGAGCAAGGTTAAGGTCCTGCAATTGGACGTTAATAGTGAGGATGAAGAGGAAATGATGGAATTCAGAAAAATTTGTAGGGTGCAATTCACAAGACTTGAACAATTGGATGTGAGAGTGAGAGATTAAGTTATATAATACATTACAAAGGATTTAGCACTGTAATTAGTCACTATTTGTGTCCAGGAAGTTGTGTTTGTGTATAAAATAGTGAGTCATGAAAGATAATAGCATCCAGGTATCCAATCTTGGGCAGCCAGTTTGATTGGATAGAGGTTTTGAGAGAGAGAAGAGCCCAGCGTGTAAGTGTGTGTGTGTTTTGAGGGAAGTTCAGAAAAGAAAATTTTGGCTTTGCCCTAAGAAATTACTAAATGAAATAAGCTACATAGACAAATGATAGGAGTTAGAGGAGGGAAAAATTATGATGAGCTCCTTTGGACGGTTAAGGTTTCATGTAGGAGGTGGGAATGGAGTTGAGTCTTGAGAGAAAAAACATTTTAGGCGAAGAACAAGAGAAAAAGGAGCATGATAGGGAATGAGAGTGATGATTTGGGGAATGCCTGGCTTGTCTGGAGGGAGGAGTTCTCAAAACAGGAGTTTAAAGCCTCTTCATAAGATTTTTAAACTGTTTTAAAATTATTCTTCTTGAGTATATAAATGCTTTGAGTATACCTCGTTAGGGTGATCGATTAGGAGTCATTTTCTAGTCGTGGTTAGTGTAGAAGGTTGTGAAGGAAGTGAATTGGTTGACAAGGGAAGGGAAATATTTTAGCTTTTGTGATAAATTACAAAATTAGAGTAATTATCTCAGTGCTTCCTTTGAATAGTGCTGTGGTGCCAGTGAGTTATGATATAAGTGAATTCTTCGCTTCAGGACCCTGACAACAATCTACAAAAATAACCAGATATAGTTCTCTATATTTAAAAGGAAGTCATAAAACCCCACAGTTGACACTAGATGTGGAAAATCAAAAGGCTCACTCTGAGTGTTATATGGAGTAGGGAGGAAGGGGACCATGTTACATGAGTGTCCACAAGATTCAGTGTGGCAGCTGGAGTGAGGAGAAAAAAGTGGCATGGTCAGGTAAAGCAATTAATATATAAACACTCCCATCTTTTTTCTAACATCATCAAACCAACCAGACCCCAGTCTCACTGGCTTTCTTGCTATTTTTTGTACACACAAGGCATGTTTCTGCCTCAGGGCCTTTGCACTATCTTTCTTCCCTAGAATACTTTTTTTTAAGTATCTGGCTGGCTGTCTACCCTGAAATATTTGCTCAAGTGTCAACTTTCTAGTGAGGCCTATCCTGATAATTCTTTTTAAAATTGTTCCTCCCTGATACCATCCTGCTTTCCATCTCCCTGCCCTCCGTTATTTTTTTTTTTCCATAGTACTTTTCAACTTGTAACATATTGTATAATTTGCTTATTTATTTGGCTTATTATGTTTCCTGGAAAACCTGGTGGTGTAGTTATTAAGAGTTCAGCTGCTAACCAAAAGGTCAGTAGTTCGAATCCACCAGGTGCTTCTTGGAAACCTTATGGGGTAGTTCTACTCTGTTCTGTAGGGTTGCTATGAGTTGGAATTGACTCGATGACAATGGATTTGGGTTTTTTTGGTTTTTATTATGTTTCCCATGAGGCCTGGGGGGTTTTGTCTATTTTGTTCACTACTATATGTCTTCAGCATCTAGAACAGTGTCCAGCATGTGACAGGTGCTTGATAAATATTTGTTCAATGAATAAGTGAATCAAGCCGTTGAGGGTGGAACTATTCCATGGCTATTTCTCCAAATTTCCTTGACCCTTTCTACATTCCCCTCTTAGATCACATATTGCTCTTTGGCAATATCCCCATTCCTTAGAACTAATTGTTTTTTCCCTGCAAGGTTATGCTTATATTAACACTCTGGATCTTTTGAAACAGAGGTCTTAATGAACACTTAAAGCAGATTTCACCTGTTAAAAATTCTTGTGGAAGGAAGATTTCCCCCACAGTGTGATTTTCTCCAAGCTCCATACTCCTCTAAGAATTCTTTAAATATTTAACAAACATTTCCTGAACATCCTTCATGTGCTGTATACTCTTCTGGGGGTAAAGGTTACACTGGGGAGTAAGATATGTTTCCTGCCGTCCTGGAGCTCACAGTTTAAAGGGGGAGACCAACGTTAAATAACTACACAAACAAATATGTAATTATGAATTGTGATCATTTCTAAGAAAAAAAGTTGAAGGCCTATGCAAGAATATGATGGGGGGATTGATTTGGATTGGGAAAATCTTTACAAACAGGTATATTTAAGCTGAGGTAAGACTTAAAGGATGAATAGGATTTATTCCTCAAGAAACTTCTACGCATGTAAAGAGGTACCAAAAAAAACCCAACCCGTTGCCATTGAGTCAGTTCCAACTCATAGCCACCCTGTAGGACAGAGTAGAAATGTGCAGAGATAGTCATTCAATAATTACATAAATAAGTATAAAATTACAGATTGTTATAAGGATTAGGAAACATTTTAGGAAGAGAAAACAGCATGTGCAAATGTCTGGGGTAAGAAAGAACTCAAAATATTTGGGGAACTGAAAGAACTCCACTCTGGGATTCTATCCTTTAGTAATAGAATCAGCATAGAAGGAGGTAATATGTGCAGGATGTTTACTGCAGCATTGTTTGGAGAAAATGAAAACTAAAAACTAAATGCCCATCATTAGAGAAACTGTTGGATAAATTATCTTATATGGAATATTATACAGGTATCAAAATGGGTTAAAGCTATTTCTATTAAGTTGGAGAGATATCCATGAAATAATAAGTGAGGAAATCAGTGTGTACAGAAATATAGTAGGATCACATTAAAAAAAAAAAAACCTACCACCACATATATGTGTGTATATTTGAGTATATTTTGATCAGCATAGACAAAAGATGCAGAGAAATACACAAGGCTTTCAACACTGGTTAGAATCCAGGAGAGTAGAAAGAAAGAATATGAGACTATAATCCGTAAACTGAACCTGTTGCCGTTGTGCCAATTTCAACTTGTAGCGACCCTTTAGGACAGAGCAAAATGCCCCATAGAGTTTCCAAGGCTATAATCTTTATGGAAGCAGGCTGCCACATTTTTCTTCCACGGAGCAGCTGGTGGGGCTGAACTGCTGACCTTTCAGTTAGCAGCCGAGCACTTTAACCACTGTGCCACCAGGGCTCCTTATGTTGAGAACAAATGTAGAATATAAAATACTTGCTGTGGAATGGTAACCCAGCTGCGGAATTACTGCAAGTATGTAAAAAATTGAATATGGGCAAGTACTCAAAGTAACATAGATAAATGAAAATACCGTTTTGATTAGATGATGGGATTACAGGAAACTTTTTACTTTGGATTTCTGTTATTTTAATATTGTTTTTGCAATAAAGTAACATGAAAAACCCAT